TCTATTTGAGAACTTATTGTGAGTTTGTAAGTATTCGAAGTATTGAACCGAATAAATACGTGCACAAGATATTGTACATGAAGGGAACCTGAAGACATTTCTGGGTTACAATAAATTTCCTTTACTGGACTTGGTCAAATGTTAGAGACTAGCGTTGCTTCATATAATTTCATATACTGGTAATTAAAGAAACTCGATCAGATTCAAAAGTGATTGTTGGCTGTTAATGACAAATACTCAAGGAATATTTCTTGCACTTTTATTGACTGAATACCCCTTATTCAGAATGAAAGCCTGTTCTTGATCTGAGTGAGGGTGGCTGAGAATTTTGTGTAAAGCCAACAAGTTGAAAGTTAAGGGAAGATAACTTGAGCACTATTAATGCAAATGTTTCAGTCAAAAAAAACGTTCACGCTAAAGCAGATAGACATTTTAAATACATGTACATGTAAATATATTTGAAAGATCTCAAGGCTTGTAGTTGCAGGTTTAAAATCCTTTACCTTTAAATGCTGTACTTAATTAGAAGTGGTTTGTTAATTGAGATGTATAAGAAGGATGCATGACGCTGCACAAGTTACAGAATAAGCGCAAATTATAGTAGATTTATACAGTATGATTTTTAATCATCAAAATGCTTTACATAGAAGAAATCCTTTTCTGGCGATAGACATTCTACCAGACCACCGATGTAGAGATTTGCAAATATGATTTATGCATGATATTGATAGAGAAAATGGCGTTTTGAGATATATCTCCAGTGATCATATATAATCTTTCATGCTTTGAATGGCCTTTAAAATAGGCACCGTTGGTTTGTTAATCAGTTGGTTAATTAGTAGAACTCAGTAGCAAATGGTTTTTATCGAATATTCTCGAGGCTATTTGATCTGTTAGCGATTGCATGAAGACTTATATAGTATTAAACCTGTGCCTAAGTGACGAGGACTGAGAATTTGCATAAAATCATTGAGTAGAAGGTTAGGGGGAGATAACTTGAACATCTATTGTAGTAAGGTTATGAAAATCTCGAGAATGTTGTATCATTTACCTCAAGTAAGCTAAATGTAATCTTTTGTACAGTAAACGCATTCTATTAGAGAACTTATTGTGAGTTTGTAAATACTGTTGGTCTGATTATAAATATACCAAAACTGTGATGCAATATGAACAAGATGTGTTTGTGAAACACTGATGCCCCCGTATGGCAACATAGTGAAGATTAAACTTTTCTTCAATGCAAATTTAATTTATTGGTACCCAAAGTAGGGTCTCCTAACTGGAAATGCAATTGTGAAACATGAAAGCATCACCATAACAATTATGGCCAGGCTATTAAAAGTTTTTTTTCAAATAATTTCATGATCAAGGTCAGAAGGTGAATTTTGGTATTCAATGAAATTTTGCAAATTTAAACTCATCCTTAAAAGAGCCTTGGCCCTAAATTCAAAAGTTATGCCAAGGTTAAAAAGATTTTAAAAGTAGGTTTTTGATCAAGGTTATCAATTATTGGTAAATGAAAGGTCTTGTCACAAGAATTACATAAATGTGAAGTATGAAAGACATAGCCCTTACTCTTGAAAAGTTCTTGCCAAGGTTAATGTTTTTCATAAGTCCGGAAATCTGTAAGGTCAAGGTCGAAAGTTCAAGGTTATTGGTATCCAATAAAAGGACTGTGCCACAAAGAATACATTTTTATGGCAAAATCATAAACATTCTGTATAAACTGTATGAACCAATGAAATTCCAATGTAGAGATTTACAAATATGATTTATGCATGATATTGATAAAGAAAATATCGTTTCTGAAATATAATACATGTATTTCCAGTGAGCATATATTATCTTTCAAGGTTTGAATGACCTTTAAAACAGGCACCGTTGGTTTGTGAATCAGTTGGATTAGTGAGTAGAACTCAGTAGTGAAAGGTTAATACTACGTATTTTAAGGCTATCTGATCTTTTAATGAATGCATTAAGACTTACATAATATTAAACCTGTGCCTAAGTGACGAGGACTGAGAATTTGCATAAAATCATTGAGTAGAAGGTTAGGGGGAGATAACTTGAACATCTATTATAGTAAGGTTTTATAGTAAGGTTATGAAAATCTGGAGAATGTTGTATCATTTACCTCAAGTAGGCTGCATGTAATCTTTTGTACAGTACACGCATTCTATTAGAGATCTTATTGTGAGTTCGTAAATATTCGAAATTTTGCAGTGAATAAAATATGTGCACAGGATATGGTACATGCAAATGGAACCTGAAGATGTGTCTGGGTTACAAAGAATTTACTTTACTGGACTTTGTCATTAAATTGTTAGTCTAAGAGACTAGCGTTGCTTCATATAATTTCATATAATGGTATTTAAAGAAACTCGATCAGTTTCAAAATTGATTGTTGGCTGTTAATGACAAGTACTCAAGGAATATCATTGCATTTTATGTTTTACTGACTGAATAAAGCCTTATTCAGAATGAAAGCCTAGCTGTTCTTGAGTGAGGGTGGCTGAGAAGTCAACAAGTTGAAAGTTAGGGGAAGATAATTTGTGCACTACTAATGCAAATGTTTCAAAAATAGCGTTCACATACCAGATAGACATTTTTGAAACATGTAAATATATTTAATTTCATTTGTAAGGCAATTTAGTTGCAGGTTTAAAATCCTTTACCTTTAAATGATGTACTTAATTAGAAGTGGTTTGTTAATTGAGATAAGAGGGATGCACGGCACTGCATAATTAACGTACAGCATCAGCAAAATACAGCACAATACATGCAATGATTAATAGTATTACATTTTACGTTTAAATCGTAGAAGATGCTTTACAATGAAGAATTTATCCTCTTTTCAGCGATTGAATTTGTAAAATTTTCAATTCTACAAAATCAAACATTTTCGTGAGCGCAAATTTTCGAGGTTTGAAGGGAAAAAATATTGATATGCGGGGGTTTGATTTCGTGGTTCGAGGCGTTGAGTAGAAATGCATTTTATTTTATTTTTTATGGTAAAAATGAAATCGTAGATCTCTTTACCTCGATAAACAAAGAAAATTAAACCCGGGCCTTCCTTAAAAAAATTAATTTGCGATATTTCAAGGCCTGTATAGTTAAATGTTTAAAATCCTTTACCTTTACAAGCTGTATTTAATTATGGTTATTTGTTAAAATGTTTGAGTTAAAATTTGAGTATTTTCTATAATTTCTATAATGTACAAGTATAAAAATGACATATTCAATTGTATACCAGAGACATATATCTCAGTCAGTCTGTGTATACTAAAAACATGAAAAAAGAAACGTTTCTTTTTAGTATACATTGGGATATGTCATTTTTAAAGCGCGCATAAAATCAAATTTCCGTGACATGCTAGTGTATATGAAGCAGAAAGATTTACAAAAAACTAAAAATTAACACTGCAGACTGAAAAAAAATATTACGAGTATAGTTCGAATTTCCTCGACAATACATTTTATAGAAAATATACAGTATCCTTGACCCAAGCGCCTATGAATAATGCACTGAAATCTATTTGACTGTGTAGTCACTGTTCATACACTTTTTTTCATTTAGGTCCAAGATATCAGAATAATTGTATAGGTCCTTAAATATACATAGGCAAATATTTACATTTGTCTTAGATGAACCTAATGAAGAAAAAATATGTTCAATATTCTGTCTGAACCAATCACAAAGCGAGATGATATTTACATATTTCTGTTTCGGAACTAATACTAGTAAGTCTCAAGTAAGACCTCCCATTTCCAAATTGTTGGACTGGCCATTGGGTATTCTTCAATTCAATTAGCTTATCCTTATTTTTAAAGTGCATACATGTAGGTAGACCAGCTAAGCCAGGCCATCTCTGCCAGCTAAGTCTGAAGCTTTGCAAAAGCACTTAATTATCAAAATCATTTGTAATCAATTAACAGGACAGGTAAATGAGATAATGTAAAGTGTAAAATAGGCAAGTCAAACAAAACTCTGTATATTGAACTGAAAGCTACAGTTTAGGTGCACATCTGTTGCATATCTCCAGTTAATTAAAATCTTAACAGAGACAAAACAAAAACAAAGACATGATGTTCAAAAATTTATTGCTTTTTTCCTGAAGGACAAAGTTTGGTCATAATATTTGGCAGTGAATTTTAAGAACAAATTTCAAAGCAAATATTTTGGATATACATATAGGTACTTTATATATTATATGGTATAATTACATGTTTCGAAATTGTTTACATATACCAAATGATTTTTTTATTTGAACCAACAAATTTTACACACATGTACAAATGTCACAATTAATGAAGTTCAATCTGACACATCCTGAAAATCAAATATCTTAATCAGCTGATGTAAATAAACAGTAAAGAAAATTAGGATATTATAAAAGGTTTCATGAAAATGACAAAAACATAATCAAAATTTTGTGTTCCTATCAAAATACCATCACCACTTATAAAGAATAAAGATTTGAAAGAATCTAAATTGCCCACTACAATCATTTAAATGCCCACATTTCATATTAAATTTATTAACTTTATTTTAAATTGATGATTCATAATGATATCAATACCTATATAAGCTTAGCAGTATTCATAATTATTTGTCCAAATAAACACAGCAGGCACTGAAATTTATACTACATGTGTACCCTTCAAGAAAAAAAAATAAAAGTGGCATGGGATTTACAATTCAGAACACCTCAGGAAGTTAAACAGAATGAACATGATTGATTTATAAAATATACTTCATCATAAAGACAGTATACAATAACAATTTATAACTTAAATGTAGAGATCTAAGTATATAAATATATAACAAATCAAATCTTGTTTTTCCAAGCCTTTGATATTAACAGATACAAAACAGGTAAGTATATTATTCGCCATCGTGTCAATTACAGTTGACCGATGGCCGACGAAGGATGTCAAGCGACTCAAAATGCCTTTATATAATAGCTTTAAGTACATGTATATAGTGAGATTCCTCTGAGATACAATAAAAATAACTATCCAGTGACTGCATCATCTCACTGAAGTCATGTTTATAAAATGCTAAAGGGATGATATAAGCTATGGTAACTAGTTTTTGAAAAAAATTTATACTAAAACCAATTTTGGCTAGATATTCTAAACTAAAAGTGAAGGCCACAACATTTTACAACCAACACAAAGCTACGAAGCCTGAAGAAAACCTTTGGAAATAAACTTACAGGCTGTTTTTAGAGTTACTTTTTTCTTAATCGGAATCAAACACAAGATGCATTATGTAATAACATTTTCTTTAAACATATCAAATAATAAAAAAATAAACTTTTGTTGCTTGTATAAAAAAATAAAATAATTGTTACATTTTTAGGAAAAATAAACACAATCGTAAGACTTACTCAACAATAGCATTTTGTCATTATCTAAATATTTCCCCCCATATATTTTTTAAAACATTTTCCAGTTTTCCATTTTTTATTTTCTTTTTAATGTCTTGTACTATTTCCTTGAGTTGCCTCCCTTTAAGCGAAGGCGACGTTTTGCGGGAGCGAGGCGATGTTTTGCTGGAGCGAGGCGTAGGTACAGTTGGAGCGCCCACACACTTTCTCCACGGCCTGCAGTATCTGGATGTCCAGCGGTTTCTGACAGACCTCGCACTCCTCGGGACACACTGACCGCTCTCTGTTTAGCTCCAGACCATTCTCCTTCCACACGCTGACCACCGAGGCTACGAAGTAATCCATCATGGCCTTGGTGTGATGGGGGGTGGGGGCCACGCGGAGCCGCTCCTGCCCCCGGGCCACGGTCGGGTAGTTAATGGCCTGGACATAGATGTCATGTTTATTCATGAGCTCGGCTGACAGATGTGTGCACAATGCAGCCTCTCCAACCTAGAAATTAGAAATTAGGAATGAGAAAAAAATGTCTGATATAAGCTTGGGTTATTGCAACTTTGTTTTATTTTAACATTTAATTCCTTTCAATCAAATGTATGCATTATTCAACGAAATGAACATCATGATTCTATTCAAGAATGTCCTATGATTATTCTATGATAATTATTTAAAGAATTTTAGTACAAGATTCTAAGACTACAGAAATTTTCACAAAAAAGTGAAGCTGAGATACAATTGAAACTTCTTACGTGAATAGGGATGATGTGACTGGGGCAGTGTAGAGCGGGTATCCCAGCCTCCATCAAGTTACTTCTCAGATATTTAACATTGCTCTGCTGGCGAGCCCTCAGTTGTCTCCCTTCTTCACTGCGCAATACCTGTTTATAAACCAACAAACTTATTTTAATCTTTGATATGTTTGAAAACTAAACATGCTTTATATTTGAGTAAATCATGTTTATGGAAAACACAATTATGACAAAATGATGCTGTTTTTATCCTAAAGGAACATACAAATTATATTTTTAATGAAGTAAAATCATCTGGCCCTGGCACTTTATATGAGCATATTTTACTATAGCATAAAAGGATTATTAGTGAGGATTCCTAAGACTTGATTGTACAAATCATAACAATGTATAAGTGAGTTGTTACCCTAATGGAGGCAGTTGCCCCTGCCAGAGTTGTGGGAGGGAGACTGGTAGTGAAGATGAAGCCCGCGCCGTAACTCCTGATCATGTCCACCGTACGGGCGGAGGAGGCAATGTACCCCCCAACATTACCAAACGCTTTACCTGTAATAGAAAATTACTGTTGGTAATAAATAAAGTTCCTCACATTATAAAACTTGTATACATGTACTTCTAGTGAGAATATGAATACAAGAAAATTGTAAATTTGCAGGATATTGCATGCATACTATTATCAAAATAAATTGCTGAAACCTTATATGTATTCCAATATTATTGCAATAATTCACAAATGACTCCAACTATACTCTGAATCAACTTTTCCACTTCAATCTTTTCTGATACGTACCTAGAGTTCCTGATATAATGTCAATCTTGTGCATACACCCGTCTCTCTCCCCGATCCCTGCCCCGTGGTCACCATAGAGACCCACGGCATGGACCTCGTCTACAAGGGTTATAGCCCCGTACTTGTGGGCCACATCACACAACTCATTCAGGGGGGATACATCACCTGTAGATATAATAAAGATGTGAAGTGGAACCCCCTTAGCCTCGGTCCTTTCATCAAAGATATCAGAGTTTATAGATATACAGTCAAATCTAAATATTGGTTTTCGAGGTACCAAAATTCAAATGTATGTTTATATTTCCTGATTTTTTTTTCTTATTTCATCAAGAATATCTTTATCACCTAGCATATTGAGAGAACAAGTTACCTGTCATGGAATGCACGGTTTCAAACACCACAATCTTCGGGACACTCTTGTCCACTTTCTGCAGAAGTTCCTCCAGATGCAGTGGATCGTTATGTCGGAATATATGCTTGGGGACGCCACTGTTTCGTATACCTTGAATCAAGGAAGCATGGTTTCCAGCATCAGAAAACATATGAACACCTGAAAAAGAGAAATTAGAAGAGACCGATAACTGATTGGTTCCTGTGTATATCTTGTCATAACAAATTGACCCAAACAAAATGTACTGAAAGAAGATGGGAGTCATTCTGTGTGTATAATATTGCTCGGCATTTTTATATAATGTATAACTTTAGTTTTAATCTGTCCTATTTTATTATATATTTGACTGCTACTTTTTAAATCTGGTTTTGAAATGTAGAATATTTTCCAAATATAAGAGAGTAAAGTAAAATCTAATTGTTATTTTACAACAATTAATTTACAGTGCTGCAATAACATGCAAAAATTTAAAGAGTTTAATTAAAATATGATGCATTGTGTTTTTCATCAATAGACAAAATATTTTTCAAAATCTAGAAATTACCCCTGGACAACTCTTCTATCATACCTGGAATAGCCTTTCCTAGAGTATAAAGAGTGGTGTCATTGGCTACGTAACAGGAAGTGAACACTAAGGCAGCCTCTTTCTGGTGAAGTGATGCTAGCTCTTTCTCCAGACCTTCATGTAGAGGGGAATTCCCCGATATATTTCTAGTCCCTCCTGCACCAGCACCATGCTTCTTCAAAGCTTCACTGAAATCAAGAAAATATGCTTTAATTACTGACTTACATACATCTACATAAAAATCTAATTTTTACAAACTGCATGAACACAATATTCTGTTCATGCACATTTCCTTATACATGTACATTCTGTTTATTCAGCTCAAATATACTATATGATGGAATTTGTAAACAAGATTCATGGACAAAATATCTATGTTCATGAGTTAGAATGAACTTGTTACTACACTGATTTTCCAATTCATATTTCTCCTTTCGATCATATTCATATTTTGAATTTTGACCCCTCACCTGACAGCATTGATGACCTTGGGATGCCAGCTCATCCCCAGGTAGTCGTTACTACACCAGACAGTAATGTCCTTCTTTTTCCCCGTGGAGTGGTCCTCAGCGAAGGGGAATTCCCTCCCCCTGCGCTGGACATTCTTAAACACGCGGTAGGTATGGTCGTCTTTCTTCTTGTTTATCTCACCCTCAAAGAAATCCTCGTAGTTGAACAGCTTTGGTTGACCTGATAATAAAAGAAAAATTAATTAAACACCTGCATTCTTCTTTAATTAACATAATGTACATGTTTACTTTTGGCTTTCTGTTCTATTCAGCACCTTTGTTAAGAATCTTAACAGTTACATTTTAATTATATCAGAATCATATAATTTTATAATAAATAAATACTCATAACTCTCATTATCTGTTACGGATTAATTTTTACATTCCATCATAATTAACACAATTAAGAACACAGTTACTTCATGCACAAAGCAATTGTAGTCCAAATGCGCAAGCATTCAAAACATTAAGTGTTCATGTATATTACACCATTACTTGATTTTCTTTTAACCATGATAAATGGTTGCAGAAAAATTTTTACAAATCTAAGATGGAAGGATTACAATTGACAACACTTTTCAAACATAATTATGTTTATGTCACTCAGCAAAATTAAAATCATTTCTTTAAAATTATTGCAAGAAAGCTACATGTTCTAGAAATTTCCTACTACATGTACTAGCTAGATCATGTTTTCTACTTCTTTCTTTACTTTTTAATGCCCAAAATTACATAATTTAATATTATTACCATATATAAATGGTATGCTTAGCAAAAAAAAAAAAATTTCTTTAAAATTTTAGCAAAAAGAGATAGACACATGTCCTATACAGAAAACTTTCCTAGAGAATTAATAGCAAAGTCAATGCATCCCTTTATGATGCCAAAATTGAATTCCTACTTATACCACATATACTTGAATCAAGTAGAGATGATACTTTGTGAAGCATACATGTACAAAAAATAAAATTAGAGCTAGCATCTAGTATCAAAATTAATTCAGAAAAATTTTGAAAACAAAAAGTTGAATCAATTAAAAATTAGACTGACAGAAAGGAACTGCACACAAAATAAAGCAAAATGTAAGGATAAAACAAAGGTAAATAACTCCAGCAATCAAGTTATACCCTCAGTTGTCTCCTCCTGCTTCTCCTCTTCTGCTTCCAACTCTTAACAAGTTTAAATAAACAGCTATCAAGGCACTTTCATAGTTTCAATTTGGAAACAAATATTTTGTTAAATCTAAACAGTTATGAATTTGAAAGTACTCGGAAATTAATTTTAATTAAGAGGACAATTCATCCCTTTTAATCCAAAGGTAATTTGCTTGAAACCCTATTCCCTCTCCCCTGTTAAGTATTATCCCCATCTGATACACCTCCCTCACCTTTCTTGTTGTCTTTCCCCCACTGCTTCATGTACTCAAGAGTTTTCTCCACAGTGATGCCTGAGGGGTATTTAGGGGCAGCAATCTCAGCCTCAGCAGCTGTAGCCTTGTTAACGGTCATATCTGGCTGAGCTACGGTTTCTGTTATGTAATATACATTCCCTTTTTTACTTTAAATTATTTACACAATAATAGTCTGAAAGATTTATTCCAATGTAACATGAATTATTATGATATTATATTTGAAAAAATTGATGTTTTTGCTTGAAATTCATATTTGATATGATTAAAGTCACACTCCATTTTCATTGGCTACCTACCCTTCTTAGGATTAGCTTCCTTCAGTGAGGAGACATGGTTCTTGACGTCCTTAATGGCCAGTCCCTCCTTAGCAAAGAATGGGCACTGCTTCTCCAGGGGCTCGTCTGTAAAAGAGAATCCTTCAATGATCAATGGGGGTCACAGGAAACTAATACAGTCAAACCTCACTACATCAAACACAGCGAGACTGAGAAAAACCTTTTAGATATTTAAGGATTCCAGTTATCCAGGATTAATACTTAATTTAAAAGAATTAGGTGTTGAGACTTTCAGATCACTTCGCCATATCCATGGCTTTCGAGATATCAGTGTTTGGGATAAATCAAATTTCAACTGTATTTATTTTACACTGGTCTTTAGAGGTGTTTTATATACAATATAATTTTTAAAGAAATGTTAAATTATCTACAATAACAAAAAATCCAACATCTCAAGGAATGTTTGGTATGCATTTAAAAGGCAGTCAAGAATTCAAATATTTCACTAAAGTTAAAATTAAGTTAAAATTACTTATTGATAAAAACCACAAATTATCATTTCTGTGCATACTTTAATATTTTCTATTACAGTGGAATTTCCACAAGCTTCATAACAGGATTTACCTGACAAGCAATTTAATAAGAAATTAATTGAAAACAGAAATTCTCATTTCCATGGAGACTCATAATGTCCATGTTTGCTTTAGTACTTTTACCATGTTCAATGTTTTGATGCTTATTTTAATTCAATTACTCTATTATTATTTTGCTATGAATCATGTAATACATGTATATCAAACTTTCCCTTATTTGGTTTTGAGAAATAACATGTTTAATTTTTTTAAAACTCTCCATGATTTTCCTATTTATGAGGACTGAGCCAAAATGTCTTATTTTTATACTCTCCATTGTTTTGTATTGACCTATGCCTAATTAGGGATTAATTTAAAAAATGTGTTTTATTAATTACCTGTCACGGTCATCATGTCTGGCGTAGACATGTAGTTCATGGCATGCACCATTACTGGACATCGCTCGGCGTAGGTCATCAGCTGATTGGCCGTCTTTCTGACCTGGTTGACCGGAATTCGGGACAAAAACGGACATCTCAAGGCAGTGGACATGGTGCTTCTGAAAGTACAAAACAATATTTGTCACATAAAAAAAGCTTAACAGAGCATAAAAAATGCATGCCATGCATATACCGGTACGTACTTGTTTTAGAACATCTATCAAATACATGCAAAGCACTTGATTTTCCAGTATTTATATCTAAACCAATATTTAGGTATTTCTTTTTTTTTTTTTCTAAATAAAACACTTTGTGCTGTAAAAAAACTTTTTTACTTGGAAAAATTTACTTACAAGTTTTAAAATAGCCTAAAATGTTCTGACTCTCTACTAAGAATAAATCCTACGTGTCCTCCTGATCACAGGTAATGACACAATCATACAAGCTTGTAATTGTGTAAAACATGGAACAAATTGAAGGGGTTTCTCCACGTGACAAAGCTGTTGTACATGTATATGACTGAATCAGGTCTTGTGATTTGTTCTTCAAGGCCAGCAGAGTTTACAAAGGAATAACTAGGATGACCCAGTCATATCTTATGATTGTAAATGACTATCTTATCTCATTGAAAATGAATGATGGATATCTAATCTGATGGCCATACATCAAAACCTTGTCAATTTTTCATTATCTCTGGTAGTTTTTTTTTTATCGTGTCAAGTCAACATGACATATTATTTTTTTTATCTCTTGTTTTGTTTATTTCAAAATATATGTCTTTATTTTAAAAAGAAAATAAATTATTTAATATCAATCAAAATCATTTTTTCATGATTTAAAACATAACATTTAAAATTTTTAAAATTTGAAAGTAAGTTTTGTTTTAAATTTTACCAAAAAAATATGACTAAAACAAATTATTTTTCCTAGCAGATATAACACACACACACACAAAATGAATAATTTGAATTCTATGAAAAATAAAAAATAAAACCAAACAAAAAATTCTAAATCACAAAAGAGAGAAAACTTTGGGAAAAGGAGTAAAACTCTACCTCAAAGTGAACATGCTGCCCTTGTTCTAAGGAAAGTCTTATTCCATACACTTGGTGTTGAAGCAATGCCCCCAGAGACCACAAGATCTAGCTATCAGGAATTGGGTTGTCCCTTCTCTTATATAGCCTTCATAGGCCCAATACAAATTACAGTGATGCAAGGTCAAGAATTTCATAAACAGAAAAGATTCAGAAAATACGGAGTTGTTTCCCTTGAATGAATTTTGTATATGACAAGTCATGAGACCATCACAATTTTCTGATCTGATAGAGAACAAAACATTAAATAAAAAGATATATCCCATTAAAAGTATTGCCCTAGGGTCTCAATCATGAGAAAGATATTAAAATGTAAGAGTATAAATACACTTAGTGCAATATTCATCATAATTAATTGATATGCTGGAAAAACCTTTGGATTTCTCAAATATTATAAAGTAGATTTTATAAAATATTTAGTACAATTGACCCATCAAAGGTTGTAAGAAAACAGCTAGCTTAGAAATAAATTCACATGGCCTATAAGGCTTACCAGAAGCAAAAGACTGAGCTATTCACAAAAATATGGGACCTTTTTAAAGAAGTACAATGTATATATCAATTAATCAGCCCTGTAATTAAAGAAATTAAACTCCTTCCCCCCCAAACAGTGATTAGAACAGAAGGGTATTCTGCATCAACCTAAGTCTGTGCTTTGGTTAGCTAACATGTCTTATGCTGTGCATCCAGTCCCCTTCGGGAAAAAGAAAGGAGGGGGATTGGTTGGTGAGAGAATGGAGGAAGGATAAAAGTACTTTTAGGAGAGAGTAACTGAGATTCTTCACTTTAAAATTAAGGACTGAGTTTGGAGAGAAAACAGTTTCCTTTCTATAAAGTCTATATATCTACCAAAAAAAAAAAACCTTATAAAAAAGACTTAATAAATTGCAACATGAAAATCAAGTGTGATAATGCATTTCATATTTGAAGTCGCAGTTGTCTTGTTGATTTTGACCAGGATGTGTACATGATTCATGATCAACAAAATGTTTTGTTCAGACCTCAAGTACAACTTCATGTCAAACTCCACATGAAAGATGACAAGTTTTATTATTTTCCATAATTTTATAAAAATGCAAAATCCTTGTTATTTTCTTAAAACAGAGGATGTTTATTTGGGGGAAAAACAAAAATGGAAAATTATTAGGAGTGCATCTGAAGGATATCAGCTGATTATTTGAAATAGACACTTTTCTGAGTCATTCACCTCTCTAATGTGTTTATATATTTATATATATTTTATTGAGCAATCTTTGTACATTTTCAAATACATTACACCAATACATTACACCATATACTGTAAGCATAACCAGTGGTTATTTGTATTAAGGGTGTGTGGGGGATGGGCATAAAGACTCAATTTATCCTCAAATAAGCTAATATTTTTATTTCTAATTTTTTTCTCTGTGATAACTCTTTGAAAGTTTGATAAGATGATTTCTTGATAATTCAACCAGAATGTAAATTTCACCAAGTGAAAGGTCAGGAGCTAACAATAAAGGCCTAGCTAATATGCATGAAAATCTCATGCAGCTTTCTTTGTGTTCTGTGAGTAGGAACTATTGAAATTGACATGGGAGGCCTTGTGTTATTAAAATCTATTAAACTACATGTTTCAGATCTAAATTTACAATTTTGTTTTACAATGAAATGGAAATATAAGGAATGGATCCCTGTCTAGCTTGTTGGGTATCAACGGCAGTTGGAAATTGGGGATATAATTTATGCATAACAGGCTTTGCAAAATATTTCCAACTATCGTTGATGCCCTGGCTGCAGCATACCCAACATACTAGAATTTTATTTCACAATGAAATGTGTAATATAATGCTCTGAACTATCTGCAGGTTCTTGTTGAGAAACAAGCTTTTTGGTTTGAATTCATCCTATAGTTAATGTCTGACAATAGTTGAGTTGACTTAGCTACAAACTGCTAAAGACACTAAAACAATGTCATTGGCTTTCAACACATCTTCCACTGAATCAAAAATCTAGCATTCCATTAATTAATGTTGTTCTGTTGGTTTGATCGTGCTGATGGGGTAAGTAACCTACAGGAGAGAGCCCCTAATATCTCATGACTCCCACAACACCACACCAAGTCACATTTACAGCCATGTGTTTTTGTCAGAGAGAAAAGGAAAAATGTCTACACTCTTCAGGTCCAGAGGTGTCTTATTCAATTTTTGTGTATCTTGTGACTCTTGAATTTTACAGAGCAAACCAAGGCTACATCAATTACATGATACAATGAATTCCTAGCTCCAAGGTCATTCCAAATATCTTATGACTTCCACAAATGGGTATTTAAGTTTTAAAATACAAAATTTTTAGAATCTAGGTCAATTTTAGAACAATGCCCATTCACCTGTTGTTGACCGATACAGTTGAAATTTGGACAGGGATTTATGTGAAAACATATCTTCTCCAAATTCTAGTTCAATTTTTACTATAACCACCAAGCATGATCTAAATAGAAGCTGGGTCAAATTTCCTGGTTTGCCTGCAATAGGACTAGTCTGGGACTATATACACTGCAAAATATTGACTGCCTTCTTAATCATGCAATTTTATCAGAATTTCAAACCACTTTAAGATTGAGTCACATGATACACTTATTTCATGACACTTAATTTATTCAGATCTTAACCTGTAGGAAAATCAGAAATTTTTTTAATACATATGTATTGTATATCAAATTTGAACTGTCATTTAACTTTTCCTAATAGCTGTTTACTTAAATTAGTAAATATACATGCATAAGTAAAAAGTATCAATTAAAACTACATTATTATGCATTGTACTGAAAACATAGGTAACTATAAATAAAAAGATTTATGCACAGATTAGCTTTTTGTTTCCACTAAGGAGGCATGGAAATACATATTGTATCATTTTGTTTTTTTTGCCTTTCTGTCTGTCAGGGTGTGTGTGTGTGTGTGTGTGTGTGGGGGGGGGGGGGGGGGGGGGGGGGCATGGTCATATCTCTACTTCACTAAAAATTCTTACAACAGTGCAATCTTGTTTAAAAAATCTTCTCAACAATGAGAATGGCTTTTCTACACTATACAGAAATCAGTTGGAATCATTTCATTATAGTAAAGCTAGGTTATATGTGTAAAATGCACAGAGATATCATGCTTTATTGGTTGAAAAAGATTAGTTTAAATTACTTCAATGGTTTAAATTCAAATAAAATCTAAAACCTGATTTCTTTTAATCTAATTTAAATTAGCTTTATATTTCACATGTCTTTTTTGTGATATTATAGCTACATATTTTCTTATATTTGAGGTCAATGCCATGATTTAAATACCAATTTGTATATGAGGAGAAAAAAAAAATCACCAAGCCCCATAGGCTGAGGATAATAGTTTTCAAGGTTCCAAAATATTAATACATGTGTATGGCAACTTTTAATACTGTAGATTTTGATACTGATTTGATACTGATTTTAATACTGTAGATACTGCAGCTTTTAATACTGTACGGTTTATAACAAAGAGAAAGCAAAATGTCACTTTTATGTTTTTTTGTTTACTGACCCCCCCCCCCCCCCCCAAAAAAAAAAACAAAAACAGCATTTATTATGGCATTATTATAAGTCCACATAACTAATATATGCCATAATTAAATTTCGAATACATGTACTGATCACTTTTATGCAGTCAGAAGTAAAACTTCCCTCCCATCATTAATTACTATTAGGATATAAAAGATCTATAAATGAGTAGGTGTGTTTTGGTTGTGGCCTGAATCTTAACCTTTTGGCCTTGTTCTTTGTTATGTTTTATGTATACCTATATATGAACCATTAACAGGTCTATTATATGGTCCAATTCCTTTCACCTCCTGACCAACTGACTTGTTTTATATATAACCACTACTCCCTGTCCCTCACTTAATGCCAGTGGACATGCACTTTAAGACTTACATAAAATCTATTTTTAGATATACAACAATTTTCTTCTTCGAGTCTTACAAAAGAGAAATGTTTGCCTCCAAAGTATTAATGTTGTTCTGAAGTTGAATTGCAAAATTTATTCATCCTGCAATTTAAATTGTTGGTTATTTTTATGCATTGGATGTGACCTGCTAAAATATGAATGAAACTCAATTAAACAAGAAGCCCATGGGTATATTACATATATTGCCCACCTGAGCACTCTGAAAAGCTAAAATCAGTTTTATAGAAAGAAAAGTTGCTTAATTCATTGTCAGTTTCAAAATCATAAAACTAAACCATCCTCCCCTAAAAACCCCTTGGTGCATTTACAAAATACATTGTGCAAAAGCTGCCTGCGTTATTGTCTACATATTATGACAGATCAAATAGAACTCACATTTTCTTTGAATGCTGACTTCTGACTGATGTATGTGTGCTCTTCACTGAAAGCGAATCACTAAAAACCTGGAAATAGAAAATCAAAAGTAAAATGTAAGAAATATACCAGTACTGTCGAAAAAATATTTTCTGCATTTGTCAGTTTTTGCAGAATTTTGCAAATACATGTCGATCAATTAATCTGGAACATGCAAATGATCATAAAATGTTAAGTTCATGAAATTCTTAGATATTTCTTAAATGTATTGCTCTTTTTTTAATTCCTAAATGAAAGGTTTCCATAAGAATTCAAAAAGAAGGGTATACATAAAACAAGAGGCCCATGGGCCGCAATGCTCACCTGAGCAACTTTAACTCTGTTGTTCTTCACCACATTTTCCCCTTTGTAATACTTAGTGTGGCCCAACCCTACCTAAGGGATCATGCTTTGAGAGATTTTTAAAAGATTTTTCCTATATATTCCTATGTAGACCTTTGATCATCCATTGTGGCCCCGCCCTACCCTCCGGGTTTGAACAGATATGAATCTACAATACCTGAAGATGTTTCCCAAAAAGTTTTATCTTTCCTTGCACCCCCTTTACCCAAGGTTGCTTTGTGGCAAGTTCGGTTGAAATTGGTCGGGTGGTTCTGGAGAAGAGGTTGAAAATGTGAAAAGTTTACAGACAGACACCAGACATGTGATCAGAAAAACTCACTTGAGCTTTTAGCTCAGGTGAGCTAAAAAGTTTTCTTTCCATTTTATGCACTCTAAACAAGTCACTAGAACTTGCAAAAAAGTGCAAAATAGTGCATTTTCCTGCCAAATTATAAACAAGCAGAAGAGATTGTGGGTAAATGAATTTTTGGGGTATACAAAGAGCACTGATTTAATGAGATACCTTTCTGGGGTCAAACCACAGAAAT